GGGGGGGGGGGGGGCTGTGCACCCCCTAGCCCTGGCCAGAGGGGGTGCAGGGGGGTGCTATTTTTCATGATAAAGCAAAAAATTATTACAGGCATTCACATGAATGAAGATTAGAATTGCATCATGTTATATAGTCTTAAATATTTTGGAGGGGTCTCCATTATTTAATTAAAAGATTAAAAAGGGGCCCCATGACATTTTGACATAAGAATCTCCCACCCCACCCTAGGGTATAATGAATGGTCACTTAAAGTACATGCCATCATCTAACTGGTTGGGCACCTTGCCCCTTTTGTGATGGAAAATCTATTCCCTACCTTTATCCCCTGGGACAAAAAATTCAAATCAACTCTCCACTCTTATAATGTGCAGATGGTAACAGCAAGAATTGAAGCAAGCAAGCTTTACTGGAGTACATACTATTATTAGGAAGCATCAATTCGCACATGCTAATTTGCCAGTCATGATTTTGAACGTAATATTTCTTATCTTGTATAGAATTCTTAAGGTCTTGTTTACATTTTACTGGAAGCGAACTAAGATGCATATCCAATATTTGGGTCATATCACTCATATGTCAGTTTTGCAGCTTGCCAGCTTCAACAACATTTGGCTGCAAGGAAAACGTAAACAAGGAAAGGACATATAACACTTCATCTGTGTTTAAAATATCAATGAATAAATATTCCAACCATTGGCACTTTATAATATAAGTGACATTCAACAATAGATCAATAACATATACAGTATATGCAAAAACATTTCTTTGAATCACTGTATAAAATATTCCTCATAAACTAGCTCCAATTGTCGCACAGCAGCGTTTTTGGAAGGGTAAAACCAAGTTTAACATCCCCAGTTCAAAACACTTTCCGTGTCTTTTTAGGCAAGCCTGTCCAGCTGGAGAAAATCTGTCGTAATACTATTATATATTTTGGCTCAATTGGCTGCTAATTTTGTTTTATAGCGAACGAACGATATTTACCAAACCCAGTTGGAAGAACAGCAACTACACAGTTCCCATCTAATAAAAGCTGAAGAATCTGATTTCGAGTACGTCGGTAGCAAAAAGAAGGTAAAATTTCAAAGATTAAACGCATTTTTAAGCCGCTCTAAGCACTTAAATTTTGTGGACACTCTTAGGTTGGCGGCCATCTTGGATTTTCTAATTTATTATTGTTATAGCCCTGTTATAGCCACGGCCTTTTCCCGCCTTCCCAATGACAAAAAGGGAAAAGCCCTGGGAACGGGGTTGAAAATATATAATAGTTTTGTTTGTGGAAACACCACGTAAATTTATTACTGTTTCCGTAATTTTCCGAATGTCCAACTCGATTTTCCGAATATGTTAATTCTAAAAAGTTGGGGAGGTTAACCCCCCCCCCCCCAATACCCCATCGCTACGGCCCTGCGTGCCTTGTTTTCGTTTCAATACATTGAGACGAATGTTTTGACACGAAATTTCAAACTACTATTATTGGATGTCGCCATTTCTAAATTGTCGATTTCACGTCATTAAGGCCTAATTCCAAGAAATGCGAACAATTTCGCACGAAAAGGTTGAACGCATGCGCAACATGATTTTGGAATGTTTCTCTGCGAAATATTTCTCTTCGCCGGGCAGTTGAATTCGTTTCTACTCCGTTGCGAAATGGAAATAGCGAAGCCTATCAAATGCTTGTGTTTTGGATGACAAAATAGCGAAACCAATCAAGTGCTTGTGTTTTGGCAAATATTTTTTCTACTGCGGAAATCACTACGAAAGAAAATTTTCGGACAAATTAGGCCTTAATAGGAGGCTTCGGTGGCGAAGTGATTAGCGCACTTGCCTTTTATCTCTAAAGGCCTGATTCCACGGGCGCTTTTTCTCGGCGAAATGCGAAATATTTCGCCTGTTTCTTTTGAATTGCGACCACTCGAATAAATTATTTCTGCTTGATTGCCCACAATTCAAAAGAAACAGGCGAAATATTTCGCCGAGAAAAAGCGCCCGTGGAATCCGGCCTTAAGGTCGCAGGTTCAAGTCTCAATGAGAATTTCTCAACGCGACTGGAACCCAGTCCTCGTGTGAAAAGAGTAAAAGTCAACGCTCTGCCGAAAGTCGTGGGTTTTCTCCAGGTACTCCGGTTTCCTCCCACAGGGAAAGTCGACTGGGTGGGTTATAGGCACATAGGTCAGGGGGCAGATCATTAATGAGGTATGCGCCATTTGTAAGCTCACAGTCTACTTCGGTCTGCTTCACGCCAGGTTCCGGCTCTAATGCAACCAGTCAGTGAAAAACCCTGATAGGGAGTGTGCTGAGTAATATATGTATGTAGGAATGTAGTCGCATTCGCATGCATGAAGTTTAGCATGATACGGTTTTTGTGGCAAGAGGAAGGATCAGCGTTTTTGGTGATACAAGAGACAGCCACTGTCAGTCTTTTTTCTAAACTTTCTATTCCAATATCTGCTAATAAGACGAAAATCCCTTCTTTATGACTATCAGTTTTCTACAGAGAAATATTACGATATAGCAATTACAATAGGTCTTGTGCCTTTCAATAGAATCTTAAGCTTTAAATTTGCCTTCGATATACGATAATCCTGAGTAGCAAGTAATGAGTAATGCATCGCAATTTATTGTAATTTCAGTCAATTCTATATTCAGTCTATATTATAGGGTGTGTGTTAGAGATTTACAGTATTTGGTAAGTACACACTTACCATCAATTATCTAACATGACAAAGCGACGCAAGCCAAGCAAATACCAGCTATTTGCATTCTGATAATGACCTGTACAGGTCACCAATAAGTTGACGACTATCAAATTACTTTCTTCTCAAACATAAACTTCGGTAAAGTCACCAAAGTCTAAAAAGTTGTAAGATGAATAAAAATATGATCTAGCGTTTATAGAGCACGACCATGCAATTTTTAAAGCTCAGTGGGATAGATTTTGATCCATGAGAGATTTCAATTCTTATTCAAATACGTTCAGTATCTTATAGGGGGGGAATTTTGCTTTTCTAAGCAGGTTTTTGGTCATTCTTTTGCTACAAATTATAGTTTGATTATCTGTTGGAAAAAACAATGGACTCAAAATATTAGATTAAACATGGTTCCGAATTTAGATTAAACAGTTGAGCATCAAAATGTCCGTGGTATAGATGCGTCTGAACATAATAGGCCACATATATGAAAACACTTTAGGACACTGCTGATAATTTTGATTGTTTTATTTCCTCGTTTAAGTAAAGGGAGAGGACAGAGTTTTGTCCGTTGTTAATTTCCCCATCGCATCCAACGCGTTTATTTGGCCCGTTTTGGAAACTTTGCTGAATTCCTTGTGGGGGAACAGAAAGCTTCCAAAATTATAAAATTTTTATTGTGTCATGCCGTGCTTATAAGGTATAACGTTCGGCATGAATAGTGAACGAATGTTTAGTTTAAAGTGTGGTGGTTATATATCAGACGTCAACATATATAAGAAACCGTGGGTGTTTGCACATCTTTTCAAATACATGTAACCTCAAAAAAATACACATTGAATCATACACAAAAGGGAATGCTATCCTTCACTTCCTTTAGTATTTCATCAGTAAAACGTTTAATAATTAAAAGCTAATAAATGGATGGGTTTTCCGTGGTATACGTATGTAAGCCCTTAGACTTAGTAACTCTTAGTCCTGTGGGCTTGGGTGGTTCAGACGAAGGGCAAAACGCCATGCAACTAGTTTAGCGGTTCATGAGTATATACAGTACTGTCCAGAAATAACCTAACGAAAACCGCGGTTAACCTTGGTCGAACCTCGGCAAACCTAGGTCAAACCTAGAATGGAGGTCAAACCTAGGTCAAACCTCGGTTTAACCTAGGTTAACCGCGGTTTGAGTGAGGTCTGACCGAGATAATCTAACTGATTATCAATTTCCCA